TACTGAGAATTAAAGCGGTATAACTATGTCCAGCGTTGTTGAACTCATGGGTCTTGCTGCTGAAGGTGTTTCCGATTTTTTTACCATTCCTTTCTTCCTTTCATGGTGAGAGGATGGATTCGATTTTTAAGGGGCCCCTTATAGCCGGCATTCAGGAATTTGTTTCTTTTTTAAGAGGGATTGGCGGGTGAGATTACAGTTTTTAGAGCCCCTCGCCGGTATCCTAAAGTATCAAAGACAGTTCGGGTCTCAGGAACAATTTTGAGCTGTTCCCACCGAAAATTTGATCTCATTACAAGTTCAAAGATATGGAAGATACGTCCCGCATTTGCTTGGTAAAATCTCTCACATTTCTCGGGAGAGGCTGGGTAGATTACGGGGGGAGGGGTGGAGGGGGATCGTAAGCCCCTCGGAGAGTTCTATTATGGGGAGCGTACGGACATCGGACATGTTGAAATTTGGAGCGTTGAGGGCCCAAAAAGGCAGCCAACCTCCCTACACAAAAGATGTTACCGCCAATCTTCAGATTCCAATATTAAGTCGAGATGCCAAGAATGTTCATGGATGAGCGTTCTCCCGCATAATTGAGCGAATTTGTGCAAAAAGTGGCGTGGTCGAACTGGCATACGATACGTCGCATTGATTAGGTCAAAAATCTCGGCAGATTGTGAATTTTTAGCATAAAAAAAGGACGATAGCCCCTGCGCATAAGCCTAAAGAATCATTCCAAATCCAAATATCGGCAAAATTCAGAGAAATAAAAGCAGAATAGTGTTTGGAAAAAAACCTCTCATTCGATTCAGCTATCGATTTTTGTATCGAATGCGAGGTTTTTTCTCCAAACATTATTCTGCATTCGTTTCTCTAAATTTTGCCAATTTTTGGGTTTAAAATGATTCTTTAGGCTTATGCGCAGGGGCTATCGTCCTTTTTTCCCCTAAAAATTCAAAATCTGGCCTAATCGATGCGATATATCGCGTGCCAGTTCGACCACGTCAATTGAGCTCGACGAATCACCTAAAGACCTTCGTAAGGAAAGAAGCTGTCCAAGGAATGACTATGCATGCGGCCCTAAGTTTTCAAAAATCAAGTGAAAACACTTTTTTCACGATCGTGCGGCAAGAGCGCACCCGAGGAGCGAACACGCGCAAAGGACTTCATACTCGGCTCCGCACTGGATTGATTCCGCCACAGCTCCTGCATGCAAATCATCTTGTCAATTCTCCAGCCACTCCAACTTTTACAGCTTTTTTCGCCTCTTTCCCGCGCGGCAAATCGAACTCGATCCAATATCCGAGCGCGGTCGAGAACTACCCCGAACGCATTCACATGCACAAACACGTCGTACAAGGCAGCGGCACAAAACCGCCCCCACATTCAATTATGGACACAATCCACTCGCGACATTCTCGCGTCGAGTGCCTCGTAAAGGATATTCCGCGCTCGAAATATTCGGCCGTGAACGCGTCGCGTCGGGAGCCTAAACGCGATTCGCGGAGGAGTTTACGAGCTAATATTTGGACGGAATCAAACGAATCATCGACAGTTTTCAAAGGGGAAAGAAATAACTTGCTTGTGTAATGCTGTCGTGTTCAGGAAAAACGCCGTATTCACATTAAGAAGTTGCCTGATTTATTTTGATTTAAACAGAAATTCTTTGTAATTATGAATTTGTAGGTGTCTGAAATTTGACAAATTTTATGATTAAGTGGAAACTACTGAGTGAAGAATATGTACCCTTGGTACATCTGTATATATCTTTGAGAACAAATATTTTTTTTCATGCACTGGAAAAAAAGCCACATTGGATCTAGAGTCCAGACTCTTGAAAACATTGACAAGAAAAAATACTCTTGATTCAATCAGATTTTTGCTTAAATCAAAAGGAATTCCACTCAAATTAAGAGGCTTGGTTCTTGATAGAGGCAAAAATCAGATTGAATCAAGGGTATTTTTTCTTTTCGATGTTTTTAAGAGTCTGGAATCTAGATCGAATGTGTTTTTTTTTCCAGTGCGCGAAAATCGGAATTGTTAGAATGCTCATAATTATGATTTTCTTGGCACGGCAGAAACTGCCAACAACCGTTGAATTGGAACGTACACGAAAAAATGATCCGTATCGGGCGCAGAAGAATGGGAAAAGGAGAGCATTCGCTGAGGCTCCGTTGAAGTAGCCACCTAGGTGTTTTTAAATCCATTCTCGTTTTTTGAATACCAATTCCGTTTTTACAAAGTTTTTCCTAAGAAATGTAGTACAGTAACGTCGTTGTAAAGGAGCCGTCAAACAAGCACAATAATTGCGCTGGCTTGGCTAAGAGCTGTTTAAAATAAAAGGTTGGATGGTGAGTAGTCAAGACTTTTGCCGCACAGTGTATCAGGTCAATGGGAGAGGTCGGACAATATTTGGAAACTTTAAAAGCTCATAACTCCGTTTATACAAACTTTAAGGTTCTAAAAGTAGTTTCATTGAGGTTTTCTCGTAAAATTTTCCTCTGAAGGCACCCTCAGAACTTTAAAACGTGACAAAATAAACATTAAAATTTGCAGTATTTGTCAAACATTTCATGTTCAACTTCTCAGACTGACTCGATCTACTGTGCGCCGTATTAAATCGATGTGCGATAACACCGGGAAAGCTCCCTGAGGACCAGCAACACTCCAAGATTACGGACTATCAGGTAATAAGTTTCTCGCTCACCTGTCCTGCTAGTTCTGACTCACTTCCACCTCAATGAATCCACATTCGATCAAAATCCACATTTTCACACAGAGGATGAAAATCCAAGCTATACAGGCGAGCAGCTGGGAATTCAAATCCGACTGAGTAGAGGAAAGGGGAAATCGAAATTTCGTGAAACATGAATGGTCACCGTTCGAAGGGGACGCTAAGTAGCACAGGTTGTAATAAATTGAAGTGCTTGGGGCAGAGACCGTAGTTCAAGGTTACGGTATTAGAATCTCTGCTAAAGTATCGTTTATTATAACTACGAGAAGTAAATGTGTGGAATTCGTTGGAACTTTTACTGAATTTTCTTTATGATTTTACAATCCTGAAACCGAAAAATTTCAGAAAATTCGACCAGTAGTGTCCTCTTCAAAATATAAATTAGCGGTGGCGAATCCAAAACACAGTGCCTAACCAAGAAATGCTGTTTCTGCATCCACCGACTAAATTCCGATTACATGATGAAGTTGCTGATGCGCATCGGAGAGTTGCGTGTGTTGCTTATATTCCATTTGAAGGGGCTCTTTCTTATTGAAATATAATGACAATAAGATAATTGACATCAGTTGCAGTTTTTCATTCCAAATGATCGATTTTTGTTTGTGTGGTCGTTTAAAATCGGTGTTTACCATAGGAAGGGAAACTATTTTAATTTCAAGAGGAAAAATTGTAATTTTATGACAAAAAGTTTCAATTTTATTAAAATATTTATTTTTTGGGCAGGATAGTTGTCGAACACTCAGGCTTGCCAAACGTGCCCACGAGTAATTTTTGTCGTCTTTAACGCAGAATTTCGCACCTATCGCAGAGTTTTGCTCATATTCCAACCACACTGGACGACATTTTACATACGCTCTGATGGTTGAGTGAAGTTCATTTTATTGTCTCTGCTATAGTTGACTAGAATGTATCCTGCACTCGCACCGACAACCGAGGGGAAGGGTCGCGGGTCTAATGCAAGATTTTTAAAACTCATCCTCGTCAAGATATCCTTTTTCTAGTTTATTTACGAAAATTTTGCTACTATAGACGAAGGTCTTCCTTTCCAGGGCCCATTACACGATAATTCCAGATTTGATCTCCATGTCCCATAGTCTATCTTAAAATACATTTGGAACCGGTTCAGTTCTGGTTACATTTACATGTTGAATATAGTGGGCGCGTCCTCGAATGACGAGGTTTTTGGATTTTCCCCCGATTTTTGGATCCTTCCTGGCAGCAAGACTTTAGTTCAAGCTTTTGGAAAGCCTGATGGTGATTTTCCAACAGCCTCATACATTAAGCCTGCTGCAAACTCATTTTTCATTCTTCTTTTTTATTTGCCATCATTGCCGAAAGATTGCATGATAATGCAAGCCAGTGCCGAGACTGCAATTAAGCAGCAACATTGTCGCAACGTTGTGTGCTGACTTGGAGCATAGTTCAAGGGTACTCTGTTCATAAAGACAGAAAAAAATACTCTGCATTTTAAATTAATTTAATAAATAATTTAATCCAAATTATGTGTTATTTCGATGCAAAACTACAAAATTTAACAGATAAAATGTATATTACGTACCTTCCAATAGCTGCAAAAGTCTACAAATATGTCTTGTTCCGGGGAAAAAAATGAAAAAGAAATAGAAATAAAATAATAAAAAAAATACTCTAAAATTGTATATCTACTACGGTCTACAACCATCTCTACAGTTGTAGAGCCTATACCCTCTACTCAACTTTTCAAACATTTATATACGAGGTCTTTTGTCCGTACTTTAAGACCTACTTTGAAATTAATATCGTCGCTTGGCTGGCATGAGGGCGTAAGTACACTTAGAGATGCGCCCGGGAAAGCATTCAGTCGTTACCTATGAACAACAGGGGTCATCACGCAGTGTAGATACGTCCTTATATGTCAGGAGGCGACGATCAACGCTTTGTTTCATTTCTTATTTACGTCTTCGAAGTGCACTTCTGCCTCAAGAAGTTACTGATGGGGTCACATCTGTCGGCTTTGCTTAACACACACGTGTTGACGATGTTTTTTTTTTTTTTTACATTTACTACGAGTTTGCTCAAAAGAGGCACAGGATTTGACGCAGTCGCCACACTGCCTAAAATCAACCCTTCCGTGCTAAGGAAGAACGCCGTATGAGCCTTCAGGCGTTGCAAAATTTTCTTTGATAAAACACAAATTTCATGGCAAACTTATGAATATTTTTCTTCCAAATTTTCAAATAATTTTGTTTGTAATTTTACCCAAAGCTCCTGAAAATTTCAGAGAAAAATATTTATGACTTTCCTTAAAAATAAAAATTGTATAGAAAGTAATTTGGCATATCTCGAATGTTCATACGACGTTTTTCCTTAGCACGGCGAACTGACCTCGTTTTCGCGCGAGTTGAAGCATCTACCGCAGGGGATGGAAAGGCGTCCCTTGCAGAGTTTGTCGGTGCAATATTTGGTTTCGCAAGACTCGTAAGAGTGCCCTTCTGACATGCAGAAGAACATACACCGTTCACAAACTTGGTTGTAGAGTCCCGGGAGCCTCTCTTCACATCCTAGAAGACCGTGGTAATGTTCGTTTTGACAATGTTCTAGAGATTCGCCGGCCGCCATGCAAGAACCCATGCGTCTAGTGCAAATCTGATCGATGGACTCCACTCGATTAGCGCATGTGCACGGGATCCTGCAGTATTCATGTTTACATCGTTCTGCGGTCCAATTGGGCACGAACATGCATTGTCTCATGCATCTGTCACAGACATAATCACACACATACCAATAGTACGTATCGATCCGGTCACCTTCACACTGTTGTTGGCAGTCGTGTGTGTAGCATGTATCTAAACTTGCGCTGGCCACTGTCCCTCCGTAGCATCTGAGTAAACACTCTCTACACTTATTTGAGGCTTTCTTAGCACTTGTACATTCCTGTTCACAACACTCCTGTTCGCAGTATACCTCATCATTTCCATCGGTTTGACAGAGCACAATACATTTGTTCCAGGTTCTTTTGTCCACTTCAGCTGACACCTAAAAAGACGAAAATTGAAGATTGATAAACAACCTTATGTGTAGGGTGTTTCCGTGTTATCAACAACATTCTTCTCGTTTTTCGGAGAGGTACAACTGAGCACTAAGCTTTTAAATTTTTGAATTTGTATCGAACTGAGCAAGGCTGTGGTGTTTCCAGCCGAAACGTCTTGGCATAATTTGTGTAATCTGGCCTTGTTACCCACTCCTTTAATTGTTTAAAAGTATATCTTGTCATGGACTGCGGAGTGTTTTGACAGGACCTCTGATGAGGATAGAAGCGATTCTCCAGTCATATGCAAGCAGTGTTCGAAACTCTTAGGGGCCAACGCGCCAGATGCGCCTAAGAAATCGGCCATGGCGCCTAAAAAATGAAGGCTCTGCGCCAACGTGGCCTCTAAAAATGTGGATTTTCACAGGAAGTCACATGAAGAAAGAAAAAGAAATCTATTTGAATTGAAAAAACTCAGAATTTTCAGCACTACAAGTGAAAGCTTGCTTCTTCTATTCTTCATGATTTCATTCTTGGTGCTTTTGTCTTCCCCAAGTTACAGCTACTTACTAGTTCTGTTACAAAAACATCTTACGTCTAACTTTTTACTAAATGCGCCGTAATATATGGGCAAAAAGTCAATTTGGCCCCCAAAAAATCTTCAATGGTGCCTAAAAATCGGACTTGATGCGCCACATGGCCCCTAAAACTGAAAGGTGAGTTTCGAACACTGTATGCAAGGGAGATGCTAACGACTTCTGCGATTCATTCGAGTGAATTTTCAAACGACACATCGAGAGTCATGAATTCTAATTGCTGTAAAGCTGTCAGAGCATTAGAATGAGTGTTACGGAACGTGCGTCTTTTATGGCACGATGTGATTGAAATCCTCGGACAAAAAGTGAATGAATAATTGGATTTTTTGCATGATTTTCACAATAATTCTCTTTATTTACTCATCCTCCGAGGAACGGTAAAAAATGCCTGGTCCATAAAAAGGAGGTTTTTGAAATACTAAAAAGTGATAAGTTTCAATTTATTCTCTGGATAATTAGGCTGATTAAAAGTTTTTCCCTCCCTAAATGACACAGGATACAGTATACATAAAATATATACCCTAGGTATATGGATTAGCAGATATCTTTAAATATCCGATGGATTATCCCAAAATATCACAAATGACGTGTAAAATCAAATCTCGCGGTCCTTATGTGAGGTCGTTTGCTTGGCTAGGTCATTTTTCTAGTACCCTAATGGGGGGGGGGGGGTCCTGGGGAGTATGGAATACCCTACCCTCCCAGCTCATAAGAAGTCAAGGGGCCGGGGGGCCTTCCCTGAAAATTTTTTGAAATTTTAAATCTATTTGGACTTATTTTGAGGCCCTCGCGTAACGAAGATTTTCCATCAATTTCTGCAGAAAAATACGTGTTTATTTACTTTCAGCCCAAAAAACTTTCGAATTGTTGCTTTTAATAGATCCGGAAAATGTTGAAATTTTATATCTACTTGTACCCCATTGGCTTGATCGAGCAGCCGTAGGTACCTACAATTATTGGATGCATTTCTGCCAAACGGAACTATGTGCATTAAGACATGAGCCCTGAGACCCATAAGAGTTCATGCATAATAGAGCTCACGTCATAATGCACATACTTCCGTTTAGGAGAAGTACGTCCAATTATATATACGAACGGGAGTCAAGACGTAAAACACACTGTGTTGGCTAAATATCTGATCAGGAATCATAAGAATAATAACAACCTGTGCTGTGATGAAAAAAAGGCATAGCACGCACTTTAGAGAAAATTGCATGATGCTCGGAGTTAATAGCCGATTAAGAGAGAATTAGAACCACGATGATGAACATCTCTCGGCTAGTCTGGCACTACAAAACATCTTTAATTGCCTCCAGGAAGCATCAGACACGAAAATTGATGGCAAAATGAGACAAAAATGATTGCTCCGTTTTATGAGCATCAGCACATGAAGGTAAGAGAATGTCATCTGAAATTTATCCTTCAAGGTGCGGAATGCTTTAGGAGCAACCGACGATTTTGTCATCCTTTAAATAATTTCCAAAGTGTCGAAATTAATCCGTAACTCATGTTGAAAGTGACGCATAACTCCACAGGAACTGTTGGCTAATCTGGGAAACCGAGGATCTTGATTGTGGCGCTCAAACCCTCTTTTATTTTTACTACTTGTCAGGAACGGTTTCAATGTATTGTTTAAAAAACTGACACAAATATAATATTTCATCTATACTAATTAAACGAGACACTCAATTTCCACTATGATTCGAAATAAATCGAATCATGTCGATCGAATCACACTCAGACAAAAGCGCATCGCCTCTCGTCCGTCGCACTCTAGTAGGTTCAACTATGTCAACGCATGGGCGTAACACAGCCACCTGAACGAGGAATATTGGTAACCTAGAGGTGTAACTTTGTGAGACAATTCATCTCATTGTCAACAACTACAAGAGGCGAAAAGCAATATGCGCTTCATTTGCGAGCACGCTTTAACTTCTCAATACAAGTATGACGATTGACCATGGGTATGGGTGCTCAAAAGTTAATGGCCAATCACGGTTTACGCTTCATCATATTTTTCGATCGATTTATGTCGATCGAAAATCGGAGCTCTCCATCAATATGATGGTACATCTTTGGTGATGAGTATGTTTAGAACGGACAAATATTTTACAGGCACAGTTACTTGAGCTAACTGAATTTCTACATAAAAAGAATAAATACGCAGTTTGACTTGATTTAATAAATAGTTTAATCATAATTAATTTCTGTGCAAAACTTACAAAATTAAAAAAATAAAATGTCTATATATTACCTACAAATAGCCGCAAAAACCTACAAATATAGTTTGCTTCACAACCCCCCCCCCCAAAAAAAAAAAACTCTGAATCCTATGCTACCGTGCTAAGGAAATACGCCGCATGCAAATTCGAGAGTTTCTTCGAATAAAACATATATTTTTGAGAGAACGCTATGCTTTCTTTTCCCTTGAAATTTTCAGATATTTCAAACTGAATTGCGGGAACAATTTTCTAAACAACTTTCAGAAAAATATTAACAATTTTCCCAGTAAACTCATTATTTATTGAGGGAGTGAGAAACGTCTGAAGGCTCATACGGCGTTCTCTCTCATCACGGTAGTGTGAATTTACCAGGGCCGGATTAAGGAGGTGGTCACATGGGCCGCGGTCCATGGCGGCAAATCTAGGGGGCGGCAAATTTTGCAACTTTTTTAAATGTAGGTATAGAAAAAAATTGGATTTAGAAAAAAAAAATTACAAACGAGAAAAGGCCACAAAATCTCTCATTTCCTGAGAGTGTAGTTATATCTAATTTTGTCGTCTTTCAGTGATACAAGAGACAGCACCTTTAATTAGTTGAGTTAAGAGAGAAACCAAACACTTAATTTGGCCTGGAACTGACTTTGGGAGAAATTATGACGAGGACTTGAGATGAAAAGGAGAGGCCCTCGGCGCGGCAATCGGCATGTAACATTTATTGGCGCCTACAAGACTGCACGAATACTTCACGCATTGCATCAAACACAGTGCGGTTATTGTGGTCAGCGTGAAACGGATAGCGCCTACAAGAATGCATGAATACTTCACGCATTGCGCCAAACACGGTGCGGTCGGCGCGACGAGGCGGCGGAAGTTAAAATCATTAAACCTGTGTTGTGTTTGTTCTTTCATAATTTTTTCGTTCATTTCTTATGAATGGAAGGCCCATTAGAGATAGGTTTACGATACTTGACTTTCGCGCAAAGTTCCGTGGCCTTTTGCTAGTAGTGTTGACAGGGCTTTCTCAAAAAATGTGTTTAACACGAGTAAGCGCGTCTTATGCACCCCTCCCCCGCTGGCACGTTCATTTGATGGTTTTATTGATGTTTCAGAAGGAATGAGAAGGGGGCGGCAAAATACAGGCGGCCCATGGGCGGCAAGTAGGAAAATCCGGCCCTGGCATCTACCTTAGTTTACAACCATCCTTCAATTTTTAGGATTTTTAAGATTTTTAGAACTCATAACTTAAGATAGTTTCACCTCTTCACCTAGGGAATCAAAAGTACACTCATGTCTCAAAAAATTATACTGACGGTGGCATACCTGTCGGCTTTGCTTAACATACGTGTTGGCAATGTTTGTTTTTACATTTATCTCGAGTTTGGCCGAGAGAGGTACATGATTTGATGCAGTCGTCACATTGCCGGAGATCAACCGACCTCGTTGTCGAATTGGAGCATCTGCCGCAGGGAATGGAAAGGCGTCCTTTGCAGAATTTGTGCGAGCAATGCTTGGTTTCGCAAGACTCGTAAGAGTGACCGTCGGACATGCAAAAGAACATGCACCGATCACAAACTTGATCGTAGAGCCCCGGGAGCCTTTCTTCACATCCCAGAAGAGCGTAGTAATGTTCGTTCTGGCAATATTCCAGAGGTCCACCGGCCGCCATGCAAGAACCCATGCGCTTCGTGCAAATCTGATCAATGGCTTCCACTCGATTCGAACATCTACACGGAATTGCGCATTGCCCCCGTTTACATTGCTCTACGGTTTGACTGGGGTTCCATTTTTTACAGTTCTCCACGCATGTGTTACAGTAATTGTCACACACATACCAATAATGCGTGGCGAGCGGGACACCGTCACACACTTCTCGGCAGTCGTGATAATGGCACGTCTGAACAGATGGGGTTGTTAACCCCCCGTAACACTCGAATACACAAGTTTGGCAGTAATCTTTGCTCCTCTCAACTTGACATTCCTCTTTGCAACACTTTTTTTCACAGTACTCCTGGTTATATCCATCAATTTGACAGAGCACGATACATTTGTTCCACATTTTTTTGTCCACTTCAGCTGACACCTAAAAAGACAGGGATATTTGAATATTGATGAGCAACTTGTAGCGTAGGATTATCAAGTGCAAGCACTCATTTGAGCGTATGAAAGAGGAAGAAATTCATTGTTTGTATAGGGGAATATTAATATTTTGATGACGGTGCCACTGAAAAAATGAATATACTTTAAGTACAATTTACTTAAGGTGAATCCAGGCTTGGAACTTCGCGATTTGGCCATACGCGCTGCTCAGAATAGCCGCCTATATTTGCCAAAATAATAAAAACCGTAATACTTATTCAAGATTGGAGATCCAGGGGATATGGCTACATACTTAAAGAACACTCAGTAAAAAAATCTTCTCAAAATTCCCAAAAATAAAGTCTTAACTACGGCGGAAAGTAATGCCCATTGCGGCAGTGGGAGAGAGAGAGAGAGACAGAACATGAGGGATGCCGTTGCGCGCTCGGCCGCCGCCTCTGAGCTGAAAGTTTCAGCCGTACTTTCTCTGCGCTTGTAATTTTAATTGCCAATATTTTTGTCTCAAAAAATCAAGCAAAAATAAATCTATATCTTGTGGATCTGCTTTTTGTAGTTCGAGGAACATTATTTCAGTAATCGTCGAAGGAAAGTGAAATTCTCAATGGCGACTGGTGGCACTATCTCTAATCTTGAAGTATCCCTAATCGGACCCTGGATTCACCTTAAGAAAGTCAGAGGCGATTCTTCAAAGATTACAACTGCGAGCTTTGTGAATATAATTCTCTGAGAAAATAATGATCTATATTCATCGATTTTAGATAGATTCTCAGAATGCAGCAAGAGATCAAGTACAGTTATTGTTTTGTAAATCGAGAATCTTCAAAATGATTGCATCTTTCTATGATAAAAGATAAAAACTTGGCAACACTGCAATGCCGAAACAAGCCCATTAGTTAAGCTAAAACTTTCACAGGAAGATTGTACAATCAAAAGGCTTTGTTTAAGACGAATTTGATAGGAGCCCCTGAGGTTTTAAAAAGGGGCACGTTTTGACAGGGTCCTTCACGAGGGAAGCTGTAGCCCTTCTATACAGAGTGTCCCCGATCGCCCGTACAAGCCCTGCTTTTCGGTTATTTTGGATCGGACGATGACAGATGCTATGAGCAGTGGGCACGAGTGGGGAATTGACCCCAAGAAATCCGAATTTCAGGGCACTAGAGTCCCCCCCTCCCCTCAGCTCCTCCCCACCCCATGTATCTCATAGTCTGGATCGAGCAGCAACAAGAATAATGTACGAACAGGAGGTAGGGCGTAAAATATACTGTATTGGTTAAATACCCGACCAGGAGAGAGAATCATAAGAATAATAACAACCTGTGTTGTGACGAAAAAAAGACATAACACGCTCTTTAGAGAACATTGCATGATGCTCGGAGTTAAATCACCGATTAGGAGACGATTCGAACCACGATGATGAACAACTCTCGGCTGGTCTGACACTACAAGGAATCGGTAATTGCCTCAAAGAAGCGTCAGGCACAAAAAGTGATAATAGAAAGAGACAAAGATGATTACTCCGTTTTATGAGCATCACCACATGAGGAGAGAAAGAATGTCATTTGAAATTACTCTTCCGAGGTGCGGATAGTTTAAAGAGCAACCGACAGCTTTGTCACTCTCTCACAATTGAACTTATTTCTGCCAAACGGAACTATGTGCATTAAGACATGAGCCCTGAGACCCATTAAAATACATGCATAACAGGGCTCAGATCATACTGCACTTTGTTCCGTTTGGCAGAAATACGTCCAATTCTAAAATAAAAACGTGAATAGAAATTCAAAATTCGTCCGGCACACTCATTTAAATGGACGTATTAATGCTAAGGGGAACTATGTGCATAGGGTGTGCGTGGAACATAGTTCTTTTTAGCATTAATACGTCCAAAGATGGGTCGAATAATACTACGTACCGTAAACCAACGATGAAACCAAGTATCTTAACTACGACACACAAAAATTATCCATCTTGCTTTAGTTTCACCGATTACAATCCTTGTTGTTTCCAATTTTGCCAGGGCCGGGCGCCTCGGCAAGATTAACTATCTTCGCCGTTCGTGCCTAGTTTTTACGGATTTAAGGCTTTCCGACGAAACGATTTGGTTGCATTACCCAAAGAATTATGTGAATTTAACCGAAAATTGATGAACTCTATATTCTTCTTTCCATACCAACACAACACTTTGATCCTTTTTCTTACTTTGTTGAACTTTTGGCGAAGGTCTGCTGGGATATCTAGAAGAGAGCGTATCCGCAATGAAAATGAAAATGAGATAATAAGTGTGGAGAAGGACACCGTGCACGATATCAGGTCCAAGCAGTTGGTCTGGTATGGACATGTGCGAAGGATGGCAGATGACCGGTTGCCCGAGCAGGTCTTCGATTGGGTTCCTCCCGGAAGGCGACAGCGTGGACGTCCTGTGAAAGGTTGGCGACAAGGGTCGGAGGAGAAGATCAGAAGGTGCCAATTGCCTGATGATCTCTGGGAGGATAGGGGGCAATGACGACTGGGCGTCGCAGAGCGCGAGGCGGCGCTATAAAAGCGGCTGTATGTATGTATAAATGATTTTGATGATCCAGTATGACATTTTTCGAGGAAGTAAAAACGAAATATAATTCAAGACCGCTTCAATTTCATGCAGAATTAGAATACCAGGTACCGAAAAATGCAGTTAGGCGCTAATCAAATCCGTCCATTTAAATGCGTCCAAAAATTAGCGAAGAAATCCGACTTGCAAATCATAGGAGGGAATAATTGACTATTTACTGAGGCATTTTAGAAAATGCCTGATTTGACTTTCGGTTTTCGACTTAACTGGTCTATTCTGCTCTAAATAAAGGAATCAACTGATTTTTTAGTTGAGCTCCTTCCTACGCTCCTGTAAATCCATGGTTTCCATGGCTTTCGTAGAAATACATGTACATCCAAACGTTGGAGCAGGGTGGCAAAATTTCATGAAAAATAAAATCTCGTTTCACGCGAAATATTTCATGAAACAGGGCCGGATTAAGGGGGTGGTCACATGGGCCGCGGCCCATGGCGGCAACATGTAGGGGGCGGCAAATTTTGCAATCTTTTTGAATGTAGGTATCAAAAGAAGAGAGAAAAAAATCGGATTCAGAAAATAAATTACAAACGAGAAAAGGCGAAAAAATCTCTCATTTCCTGAGAGTGAAAGTATAGTACGTTGAAATTTTGTCGTCGTTCGGTGATACAAGAGACAGCACCTTTAATTAGTCGAGTTAAGAGAGAAACCAAACACGCAATTTGACCTAGAACGGAGCGGTGCGGCGCGGCGGTCGGCATGAAACGCATAGCGCCTACAAGACTGCATGAATACTTCACGCATTGCGTCCAACACACTGCGCGCGGTCAGCAGCAGTCGGCCTGAAACGCATAGCGCCTACAAGACTGCATGAATACTTCACGCATTGCGCCACCACAGTTCGATCGGGCAGCGGCGGAAGTAAAAATTATTAACCACATTTATGTTTGTTCTTACATAATTTTTTCGTTCGTTTTTTATGAATGGAAGGCCTTGTCCAAACAGGGATGGATTTACGGAACTGAACTTTTGTTTGTGTTGACAGGGCTTTCACAAAAAATGTGCCCATCACGAGTAAACGCGTCTCATACACCCCTCCTCCACCGGCGCGTTCACTTTATGGTTTTTATAGATCGTATTCGACAATTGTTACTTTCTTCTATTTTTGTGTGTTTGAGTGCGGGTTGCATACTCTATCTCCTGAAAAATATGAAATATTTCACGGCCTCATCAAATTTCACGAAATATTTCACTGAAATTTCCAATCTTTCATTTCTTTCTCACGTTTCATGCCACCCTGCGTTGAGAAGCGGTAATATAATTGGACTAAATTTTGCAATTTTGAACTATAAATTCTAGACCGGTTTAAAAACAACGTATCGACGGTGAAACTACCAAACCACGTATCTCGGTTTGCGACGTCGCAGACTTCCTGTCATACTTTATTTTTTAAATGAAAAACTACTTAACATCCAGTCTTGAAAATTTCTGTGATTTTTCCTCTTTGTGCGGAGAAAATTCCGTGAAAATTTCAAGGAATGATATTGATTTGGTCTACTTCAAAAAAATAAAATGTGAGCGTAGATTTTTAAACACCGCAAACGAGATACGTGGTTTGGTAGTTTCACCGTCGGTATATTAGTTTCCCTATGCACATAAGTGTTTTTCCAGGAGATCCAGAATTTATAGTTCCAAATTGAAAAATGCAGTCCAATTAAGTGCATCGCACGCTGCCACTCCTACTCCAAACCCAGTATTCGGAAGACGCGAGACTCTCAAATTTTACCAGTTTTCGTTTCTGCACAGCTCGCATTTAAATTTGATTAGTTATGCATCAAAAATTAAATCGATTATGCTAGCTTACTCGCGGATTTGCCAACGGCTGTAAACGATCTTGGGAATTAGACCGGTGATTTGATTTCTTTTAAAGCGCATCAATCGTGTCACGTAAATACAAGCAAAGGTGCCTAATGGACGCATTTATGCTAAAAGGAACTATGTGCATGGGGTTTGCTTGTAAGATAGTTCCTTTTAGCATAAATACGTCCTAATGATATCGTATTCTCCTCGCGCGAGGTTATTTGCCAAAATGTTGGATACATTAATGGCGAGGGGAGGT